CGGCCGCGAAAGCCCGGCCGAGGTGGAGAGAGGGGGTCAGCCGTGGGCTAACGCCGGTTGTGTCGTTGGCAGGATCCGAGCCTAGCGCAGCGGTGAGCGTAGCCGTGGGAGCCGGCCTTCCGCTGTCACCTTCCCTTCTGGCAATGGGGAATGGACTCTCGGACCAAACGCCGATCCTCTCCAGCCTGCCTTCTTTCCAGAGTTTCCACATTGTCATCTTGGGACTGGATTGTGCTGGAAAGACGACCGTTCTCTACAGACTGCAGTTCAATGAGTTCGTCAACACTGTCCCCACTAAAGGATTTAATACGGAGAAAATCAAAGTGACGCTGGGCAACTCAAAAACAGTCACTTTCCACTTCTGGGATGTGGGCGGCCAGGAGAAGCTAAGGCCGCTGTGGAAGTCGTACACGAGGTGCACCGATGGCATCGTGTTTGTGGTGGACTCTGTCGATGTTGAGAGAATGGAGGAGGCCAAAACAGAACTTCATAAAATTACTAGGATATCTGAAAATCAAGGAGTGCCTGTCCTTATCATTGCTAACAAGCAGGACTTGAGAAACTCTCTCTCCCTTTCTGAAATAGAGAAAATGTTAGCAATGAGTGAGCTGAGTTCCTCGACTCCCTGGCATTTGCAGCCTACCTGTGCAATCATTGGAGATGGACTCAAAGAGGGACTGGAGAAACTACATGATATGATAATTAAGCGAAGGAAAATGTTGAGGCAGCAGAAAAAGAAGAGATGAGTTCTATTTTGACCTTTCTATTTTAGAGTAGTTACGTGGTCAAAATTTGACATAAGACAGCTTCCAAACCCAGGCCTGCTTGTTTGGATGCTGTTAAGCTTAGTTACGTTAAACAGTCAGTTGCACAACCTTGCTGTGTGTAAGGCTGCGCAGTTACGGAACTTTTTTTTTTTACTAGTCTCTTCTGAGTTTTATGGCTCTGCATTATTTCGGAAGGCCTAACAGATGATGTAATACTATCAGGAAATGGATGGGTGGGTATATGTGACATGGATGTCTAAATAGCCAAATAAAATGAGGGGGTTCTGCTTAGTGTTGTATTCATATGTTTGAGGGTGCCCTCTGCAAGCAATTTGCATTGAAGGTGTTCTGTGTTTTTAAACTTCTAATGCTCGTAAGTGGAGTGTTTAGGTGAACATTATACAGCTTTAAAAACATGTATGAAGCTAGTAACCCATTATTTTGAGAGGCTGGGTTTTTATCTTGTTTGGGGATTTGTAGGAAAGCTTGGCTACATGTGTAGTTTTTTTTTTAATTTGGCACTTTTTGAAATTGAATCATGTTCAGTTCAAATACTTGAAAAAGTGCTGTAGATTCTTCAACTGGTAAAAGAAAGATATTTTGATAAGTAAAAAATGTAAACAACACGCTGGAGCATGGAAAAGGGGTTTCCCAACATATAGCATGTTTTTGGTATGTGAAGTTTTTATTAGAAGCAGCCATTCATCGTTACACAGTGCTAATCAGGTTTAAACTGTTATTCAAAATTAGTAATTTATTTCTGAATGACGAGTATTATGCCCCTCCTATTATCAAGTTAAAAGTACATTAATTGCAGTAAAGGAGCTGTAAAGAACAACTCTGGCTGTTGTGGTTCTAACCAGTGCAGTGTTCTTTACTGTACTGGTGACTTTCCTGGCAATAAAACAAAGTTATAATGAACTAAAGATGGAGTTAAAATTAGCAGAGCACATCTTGTATTTCCCCAAAATACCCTATTTTATTAAAGTGGTATTGCCATGTCACTTTCAATGTATGCTTTTTTTTATTGTGACTCTTAAAGCATTTTGTGGTTAGGAATGTAATAATGCTTTATACACTCAAAACATTTGACACTACCAGGGGAGGGGGGGAGGGAGGGGAGAGTGGGGGAAGAAGATTTTCAAGATGGGCCTGTGTTCTGCTTTAATTATGCTTTAAGCTTTTCTTGTTTACAGAGTGTGCAAACAGTGTTAACTGGGCAGGATAGTGCTTGACGGAAAAGGGAGGGTAGTTTTTGTTACTGGTACAGAGCTTCAAGTGACTCTTTAGATACTGGGCTAGCAATTAAAAGGGCTAAAACGGAGCATGGATTTTTAAGATTAACTTTAGTGGTGCTGTAAAAATTCATCAGAATGTTAGATGCTCTTTAAACTTTTGTTGGAAATACTCGATAAAAACAAAGTAAAAAAATAAAAAAGCTAAATCTATTTCCTCCTTTTACTCAACCAGCAAAGTAACACATTTTTCTTACCTGCTGCCATGTATCAGGAGGATGACAGCTGCAAACCTGAATGTCACTCAATGTAACTTAGATGCATTTAAAAAAAAAAAATCAAACTTTTTAACCAGCAGCTGTTTGTCCAGGAGATAACCAAAAAATGCACTTTAGTGTCTTCAATAACTGAAAGTGACAGCTGTTTTTTATTACATTTTGGTCCTTTTTGAATAAACTGAAGTAGCTTCCGGTGGAGCTTTTGTATGTTGGTTATATATGTACCTGCACTGGTGACATTGTAAGTCACTTACTCAAGTAATGTCTATATTTATAGAAATGTGGATGACTTCTTAAACCTCAATAAACAATTCAAAACAAGCCTGCAGAGAGAAGGCGTCTGACTTCTTGTACTGCAGTGGTACAGTCTCATCAACCTCTGTGCACATGTTGATTCTAATAAGAGTAGAACTATTTCTGTTTGAAAACCAAAGTCTTATAAATGTGGTGAGGATCATAAATGTCACGGCGTTACAAATTGCATGTATCTTATTAAGAACTTTAAGTCAATGGCATGTCTGTATATTCATAGAAGAAATATTAACTGCAGTGACTCCTTTCTGAAGTGATGGATCTTGCATAATTTGAAAAATATTTTATATAGCTGAACCTGTTTTATGTTACGTGCAATGTGTAATAGGCAATGTTGGGCATTTATCACATGTACTTGCAGGTGGTACTTAATTTATTATCTTCAGGCTCATGCATCGGAAGCTGTCTGAGGGATTCACATGTACTTAAGCCTTGGATGAATTTCCTTCTTGGATTTTATGGTAGTGGGCAGAATGTGGCAAGAGATATGGAAGCTTCTAATTAGTTTTAGGACCCAAACATAGATGAAACAAAACTTGTTTAGAAGCCTGCAAATCAAGAATATCTGAACCTCTCTCAAACACCTGGTATTTTAATTTCTGTGTATGTAACTGATGGCACATCAAAATGTAGGTTACTGACAGTCAGACTTGAGAAAAAGCTGTTAGTGATGTTGAGCCCTACAAGTTTGGGGTGTAATTGATATAACCTGGGTAACATTTTTCTTCCTATCAGGTGCACAGTAGTACTAGGCTAAGGAAGGTGAGATGACAGGCTGGCTCTTTATACCCCGTAAAAAAACTGTACAATACCAAATAATGACAACTTCATTTTGAGTATTAATTAGGATTCTATTGTTGAAAAGGCATCCTGCTAGAAAAAGTCAACCGTGTTTTGTTCTGCATATTAAACATGCTAGTGTTTATCTGGTGACAGTGTCCCTAAATTCTTCCATGTATAAAAACATCAGTGAATAATTTTAAATACCAAGACATGACTGATCTGTACTCTAACACTCTGGAGGAAGAAAAGAGAGGAAGTGGAGAGTAGTGTTTCTAAAATGTCACGGTTGTTACCATGTGATATTTAATATTGACTTGGAAGGAGAAAATTGAGTGGGGGATGAGCTTTACATCCAAGCTATACCTTTATCTGTACTAGAACTGTTTTGCTGGAATATTATAGTAACTGCTCTGAGTAAAATGTACCAATGTAGTTGTACCTCCAAAACTGTGTTTTGTATTGCTGTGACAAAGTCTTCAACCATGAAGAAGATGGTGATTGCAGTAGAGCATTTGGTATCTTAGCTGATTGATCTGACGTAGTTCTGTCAGCCTGGGATCACTCTCTTCTGCACGATGGATTGATAGTTCTGGCCTAAATACTGCTATATGTAAGAAAATCTTTAGAGGAGCTGAATAAGCAGGTGTAATTTTGTTCCAACGCTGGGGTTATGCAACTTAACTAGTAAAATAATTTTTTCTAAAAGGGGCTACAAATGACACTGTTCTTCAAGGTACTAGGTGAGTTAAATATATTAAACTGCTTCTACTTTAAGGAGGTATGGAATTGCATTTAAATAGTGCAGGGCTGTTAAACAAAACACAAGGTCTTGTATCCTTATCGCTGTTGTCTTAGCTTATAAAAGTTGGTATGGTGTTGCCTCAGCTGTTTATGCAAGTGCAGTTGTTTAAAGTTAACCAGCCTTCAGGATCTGGTCTCTGGTTTCTAGCTGCGTAGCTGTGTGTTAGCTTCCTTCTGAACATTTCAGCTAGAGAAGGTACTGTACGTGGTGAGGCTCCAAGTTCTTGACATCGCTTTCCAGTTACGTTGCACTGAATGTACATTTACATTTGAAAAAAAAAATATTGGTTTTCAATCAGGTGATAGGTGAAACCTTCTTTTCAAATTTTCATGTTATACTGGGACACGATCGATCCTTTGTGTAGAAAGCAGTACCCACAGCCAGCCCAGGGTTTCCAGCCTGACTTACAGACGTGCTTCTGTACAACCTTACACAGCACTTGGGTCCCGCAGAAGTTTATTACCTGCAGTGGTCATGGAGCAGTGAGGAGCTGTGAGCAGTCGGTGGGCTGGGGGCTAGCAAGCCCTTCTGGACCCCAGCAGGTCTGCGGGAAGGCAGGTCTGCCTTCCTGGGGGGGTTATCTGCATCTTGGGTCATTTGTTTACAGAGAGCAGGGTGTTAATTAGTGTCTGGCTGAAACTTTTTGTTGAGAGGAGGGTGTCATTCTTGGCATTGGAGGAGAATTTAGATAACTGCATTGGTACTACAAAGAAGGACAGGGTAAGGCAGAGCGTGGAAAATGTGGGCAATCTGGATACACTATATATAGAGCACCGACCCTAGCACGCAGTCTTGATTCAGCTGTGCGGATCGCAGTGCATGAAGGCTAGTAAACATGTACTCATAATGCAACCTTCCTTTAACGTCTTTGGAGAGAGAAATCTGGGCATTAATTGGTGCTTTTTGGATCAGTATTTTCACTTCACTGGTGGGTGACTCATCTTTTGAGAGGGTCACGGTTTACAGCCCAGCTCTGGCAGCCCATAGCTGTGTGTCCCTGAGCCAAAAGGACTCCTGTTGCTGCAGGAAGGGATGTGCAGGGAGCTGGGAATGGGCATAGGCTCCTGTTTGTTTTGTCTGTGGAATGAGGATTTTTTTTTTTTGTTTAATCCTGACTGACATAGGTACGTGAAGGCCTGCCCCTCTGTGATTATTTTTAGGAGCAGTACAAGACTGCAGAGCTGTGCGGATAAACTCTTGCGTGTGTTTTTAAACAGAAGGGAAACAAGCAGCCTGACTTCGGAGCAGGGTGACACCCGGGGTTACCACATGGGCTCCCACGGCCATTTTGCCCATCTCGGGACAAAATAAAGGGGCGATACACAGCTGGCAGCTTGCCCTTCTTTAAAGCAGTCAGTTTTCTTAAACCAGCTGTAAAGAGGCAAAAAATGTTTCCAAAACCTAGCTGAAAAAAATCCCAAGCAGCAAATTAAGGACTTGAATTTCCTCCCATCAGTGCCCGGTGTCACTGTCGCTGGCTGTGAGTGAACCCAGTGCGGCACCTGTGCGGGGGCCAGGCTGTTCACATACCGATTTTATCCAAACACAAGCCCAAAATCTAAAGACAGTGCTTCCAGGCTCAATACCTGCTTGCAAACAGCTCAGGAAGGTAAGAGATTATAATCCTCGAGCTGTGGAGATTACGATTTCTTAGTTGCAGCTGTATTTACACAGCTGCTCCACCAGAATTGAGAGCTAAAGATGACAGAATAATTAGAAAGGAGAAGGTCAAGTACAGTTGTTGGCAGTGGGGTGTGTGGAGGGAGAGAGGGTTTGAAACTGTGGGCTTTCCTAGCTTTTCAAGACACATTGCGCCCTAAGGGAAATAGATATGCTTTTAGGCTGTTTAATTGGCTTAAGATCTTTATTGGTTTGTGCACTGTAGTTTTCCTATTACTGAAATGAAACAATACCTCATTTAAGAAAGCCACTTAATCACTGCATTAATCTCCAAGTCCACTGGCAAAAGACAAGGTTAGCAGGGGTGTCGAGCCTTGTTCAATGTGCTGAGGGCTCCTGGCTGGCTCACAAGCTGCTGTATTTCAAGGTCTTTTCTAAAAATAGCAGAATGGTAGAATTTAGGTCAGGCCATGTAAAGGGGGGAAGCCTGATACTTCAGACACTACTCACAGTCCAGAGGTACCACTAACCCTGTAACCACTTATCTTCTGTTACCATTTTGTGAATGAGAAATAAGAATAACTTCCTTTGGAGCATAACATTTTAATACCTTTCCTGT